TCTCTCTGAAGAGGAGCTGTGGATGGAATTACACCATAAGGCGTAAGACTGATTTGTGGTGTTAATTTTGTTGCTTTAGCATCTTATTCAGTCATTCTGATATTAAGTTGACAAATTAATTTAGGTAGCTGGACGGAAAACATTTGGATCTTAAGAGTGGAAGTTTGGTTGTATAGAGAAGATTGAATTGAAAAGCTTAGATGGTCTCAACTTTACAAAAACTCTATTGGAGATAATATGTGGCTTTCTCCAAATTGTTACGGGAGATGTTTTAACAACGACGAAAAGTGCTTCCTGCTGTATTCATGATATAGTTACTCCTCACAATGCCAGTGTCTAGCTTTGGTTGATTTTTCAGAATATTTACTTGAGATTACCTAAATACATAGACCTAGGGAACTAAAAAGGAAAAAGTAGGAAACTATGCTTATATAATCCAGCTTCTCACAATTTCTCAAAAATGCCTTGCAGCATTTGCATAAAAAATGGTAGGATTCCATTTAATTCCCTCTCTAGATGAGACTCCTACAAGGCATTGGAGCGATTATGATTTCCCTCTGATTTTCTCCTCCCAACTTTCTACCTTTATCCACCTTGAAAAGGTCTTTGGATGAGTTAGAATTTGGATTTAATGGCTGTCCTGCACATTACTTTAGATTAACGGGCCTTGAATCATGCTGCAAGAGTAGAAAGTCAAACTGTTAATATAACACTGATTTAGGAATGATCTGATTAATTTCATGTAATTAAATGGAGCCAGTTAACGTTGGATGTCCACGGAGATGAGTGTGCGTGATGCAGTTTCTTGACAGTAATTACCTTGTTATTGGCTACTATACTATACAAATCCCATTTACTCTTTGTCTCTTAATATACATAGAAATGATGTGGAGATAGTTTCTGTAGATTTTCTTTAATCATGAAGTAATTCATTGATTGCAAGGCTCATTTATAGAGTTATCTACATTGTAGTTAGCAATTTCATGGAAACCAAATTGTCTAGTTACTTCAAAAAAAAAGTTTATCAATCTCACAACATGGACTTCAATTGTTGAGAATCTGATCGAAATTTGTTCACCAATAAAAGTTACAGTTGTACAATTTTCTTGTTTTTTAATGGTTGAGTTAACAATTTCATGCTTTTATTGGTTTAAAGGGTTCTCATACTCTAATCAAGGCTGTAGCTGTCAGTTAGAACTATACTTAAAACTTGAACTAGTCTGCCACATTTGCTGTTGGTCATCTCATGTTGCTGTTCACTGTTCAAAAAACTGCATCATAGTTGTTGGACTAGTACTCATTGTTGCACTACAGAAAGCTGCAAATAGTTTTAATTTGTTCACTCAAATTATACGTACCTCTACCTTGAACTCACACGTAACAGTAATTAAATGTTAATAGATAGTAGTTAGGACATCATATTAAGAGATTTAATGTCTTTTCATGTTTTGTGTGATGTAACAGGTTAGAGTTACGAGATCAGCAGAGGCTAGAGAATCGTAGAGCATTTGCCAATATATGGTCTGATATTGTTTTTGGAGTATCATTGTTCATTCTTTTGTACTTCAATCAGAGTCAAGTGAGTACTCATCGTTTTCTTTGAGTTTTATACTCAAATACCTATTTTAATAATTCCATTTCACAGCTTAGTGTGATTTTGCACTTAAAGCTTCCCTTCCTTTCAATCTCTTTTATTTCTTAGGAACTTCATTCTGAAAATAAAAGTCAACATACTTGCACTTTTTTGTTTAATAAGTAAGCTTCCCACTTACCATGACTGCATGGCCCAAAAGAAAACAAAAAATCTGAGGACATTCTTGCTTCACAATTTTCAAGTGATTATGCGCCTAAGATTTTGATGTTTAAACGTTTCTTGCCCTTAGAGCCACTAAGAATTTCTGTTTTCTCTTTCAGGCCTTTTTCCTAGCAACTCTAGTTTCACTATATAAGGCTTCTATTCTTTTCAGAGGCCTTAGTTTGTTTATTTATAGAACTATATTTATACAACTATAAGAGCAACTATATAATGTAATTCCAGTTTTCTGCTTCTGGTACTTTATTTTCAATAGAACATTCATATAGTTTCATGGAGAAACATGTTTTGATGGACATATGATGTGTAAAGTCGTGTTTTATTAATGGAATGCTAACATAAAATGGATGGAATTGGATGATGTGACCTTGTTTGGGTAGTTAATGTCAGGAAGGCCGTAGGATAATTTGTTTTTGTGCTTTTTCTGCTTGCAGCATCCATATATGAAGATTAGCATATTATACTGAACTCTTTCGATCATCTTGCCATATTATACTGAACGCTTTCAATCATCTTGCCAACTTATGCCTGCTTCTGCAGGTAGCTCTGCTGAAATTTACTGGCTACAAGATGCTAAACAATGTTACAGACACGGGGAAGGCTTTTCTAATTATACTTGTCACTGATATATTTCTAGGGTAACATTTTTATTCTCTGTTTTCTAATGTATTAGTTATTCACTTTTGATGTGGTGATTTCTCATTGAAGTTGGTCCCGCCATAGTTGGATCACATGCTGAATTTAGGCTAGTTATCTCAGATAGGATAATAACCCCATCTTAGAATGCTCCAAAAAAAAAAAAAAAAAAAAGAAACCATCTTGGATGTTTAGTGCACTTTTGATATGATTTGACTTGTTTATTGAGCAACAAAAATTCTATTAACTACTAATGCTCTTGCTTCGCTCTTCTGACTCTGCAGGTATCATTCAGAGTCTGGTTGGCAGACTGTATGTGAGATAATAGTTGACCATTATGGTCTTGAGGTTGATGAGGCTGCCATTACCATTTTTGTCTGTTTAGTTCCAGTTATTATTGATGCTTGCGTGAAGCTCTGGGTACGTTTTTTATCTAAAAAATATGATATGTGGAATTTTTTTTATGTTGGGAAAACATTTTACCATGTGTGTTTGTGATTTCTGCCTGATCATGCTTTTCTTTTCCTTTTTTTCTGCATTTTAATTTCCTTGACAATATGATTACATATTTTACAGTTCAAGCTATGTACCTACAGAGAGTTTTTTTTTTTTTTCCCTAACAATTCTGTTCTCAACAAATGATCTCACTAATTGGATCATGTTCTTCATCTTGTACTGAAGTGTGCATTGCCTTTCCTGTTTCCTTTTGGGTGGGGGTAACATGGTAGCTGGAAAAGCATAACTTTTATACGTATAATATCATTTTAGCTGGAAAAGGAAAGTTACTATAATGATCCAATCTCCAAAACTGTTAAAACCAAACACAAAGTCCAGGTATACAGATTTTGGCAACCTTCTTTATGCTGGAAGAGAGGGGAGGGGAGGGGGAACGGGGCGAACAATTTGTTTGTTGTCTTTGTCCTTTTTGACTTCTTAGCCTAGGCGTTTCTCATGCTTTGATTTTTTCCCCCCTTTTGACTCCTTAGCCAAGGTGTTTCTGATGCTTTGATCCTTTTTTTTTTTTTTTTCCAGTTATTCAAGTTTTTGCCAAGGTTATCCCCAAGGGTAGCAAATATTTTCAGAGAAATGGAGAGGCATTAGAGATGATTCTTTCTTTTCTACGTCTCTCTGTCAGAAGTAGCCACAAGTTACAGCACTTAGGACTATTATTTTTTCCGATGCTTGGTGGATACATGTTGTATTTGTTTCAATATAGAGGCTTTTCAGCATTGTAAGTTGTACCACAACAGAGCAACCAATTTTTTGTCTGGTTTAGGTGTAAAGTAACATTCTTTTCATTGGGGGGCTACAAACCAGATACCAGACATATAATTCCATACCATGGTCAAGAGTTGTTGTAAATTGTGATGAGTGATGGAGTGCATCCTGTTATGATGAAAGAATCATCATTATCATTTTTAATTGCATGCTTATATGGTACTTAGATTTTCACAAGCTTTAAATAGAGAAAGGAAAACATAATACATCAAGGACTTGAAAAGTGGAAGGGAAAAATCCACTTTTCGTCCTTAAACTTTGAGTTTAGGGACACATTTCGTCCCCAAACTTTTAGACGCATCACATTTAGTACATGAATTAATTATTTTGGACCACATTTAGTCCAAAAACGGTAAAATATTCAATTTGGATGGAGAAGGCTGACGTGGCCGTTGATTTTGACTGAGAAATTGTTTTTACTCAACGGTCACGTGCCAAACACGTGACTTTCTCCATCCAAATTAAGCAATTTACCGTTTTTGAATTAAATATGGCAAAAAATAATTAATTCATGTACTAAATGTGGTGCATCTAAAAATTTGGGGACAAAATGTGTTCCTAACTCAAAATTTAGAGACGAAAAGTAGATTTTCCCAAAAGTGGAATTTCACTCTGGGCATGGCCACAGGCCACAGTGTCTGGTTTCGGTGATCAAACAAGATGCCGGCATGGCGTGCGTTGGAGGAGAGGGATCTAAAGTACAGTAATGGTGAGTTTAATGTCAATGGTACCATCTCTGATCTGTGTTCTGATTGGCAAGAAAAATGAGCTTCTCTGAGGGTTGCATGTAGAATGGAAAGAAAGAGGTTGATTGAGGCTGTGTGGTCTTTTGAGGCTGGATTTGGTTCAAGGATGATGTTGAATCTTGGTGCTGAGGATGTCTGAGGTCCCTGATGTTTGGTAAATTGCAGTCAGTATCCGTTTCCAGTTAAAAAGTGTTCAAGAATAGTGAACCAAACCTAAAAGGGTGTCTCTCTACCTGGCTCAGGGATGCAGGATTTACCAACATCTAAAAAACACCACCTTTGTATTCTCACATGTTTTTATGAATGTTTTTCGTTCACTTGATACTGAAATTTTTAAGACCCATATTTTTATGAGTTAATTTTATATACACTGACAGTGCATACACTATTACTGTTGGATTCATGACACGTGTGCAAAAATTAAATTTTAAATTTCAATTTTACATAGTTGTCGTTCATTCAACGCTGATAGTGTATACACTGTAAGTGTAGGAAATATTAATCCTATTTGCTATGTCCTAATATTTATAACCACAATAACTTTCGCAGTAAAAACGACAAACATGCAATCTGAAAAGTTAAAGATAGAAAGTGATAACCCGAAATACGCATAGGTTAACAGCAATTAACTGAAAATCAGACATGAACACAGAAAACTACAAATAGTTTTGCTGTCAGCCTGTTATCCAGATGACCTTTCTCATTCTCTTTGTTGGATGACTTCTCTTCTGACACATTCTCTTTGCTACAGGAACTCTCCCCTTCAAACCCTTCTTCACAAGAAATAAGATTTTCCTGAATGATTTTCTCTATGCAAATTTTCACCATCATCATCACTTAACAACTGCGATGATGGCGGTTTTTCTTTCTTCGATTCAGCAACATCTTTAGCGTCCAGAAAACTTGGTTGGTTGGTTGAAGATAGGAGCCTTGCCCACATCCGGTCTGTTATTCCCACCTTATTCTGTCTCTCTATTATGCGCTGCAAAATGGTCAGTCGAAACCATTAACACCATACAGTGACACAAATCTGTTACATATAACGAATTATTGCCAACAGAAGAATTAGCTTATTTTTGTACATTTAGGATCAAGAAACTAGCAGAAAGACTACAAGAAAATTAAGACTCTAAACACCAAACTCACATAAAAGGGTATGTAAGCATGTCTTGCATTAACAGGCCCTACTGTAAACCCTGTGAAACCTGCCATTGCGCCATGAATCGCGCTGTGAGCTAGAAGTGTGCAGTAGACATTGTCTGATGCATTGCCTGGAATGGCACGGATCATATATGTAGGGTCTGCCATGAACGATCAATCATACTTAGATTATTGCTTCGTAAGTTAACATGACAAGATCCTGAATAGAAACTTCTCGACGTACCTATGTATTTGAGATTTACAGGCATTTTCTTCTCTTTCGAAAAGTGATCCTGGAAACCATCAAGCATGGGAGATATTTTACATACCAGTTTGAGATCACAGAGCAGAATAAACTCAATATACATTTAACTGTAATAGAAAATTCAATTATCTATACTTGCAACAAAAATTGCATGAGGCACTTGCCTGGTAGTAATACAATCAATCAAGTGCATATGCTGAAGCATTTGTGTTATTGTGAAGAGTGTGACTATATCCTCCTAGAAGCAGTAAACTTTCTGAGAAGGATGACTATATCCTCCTATTGTTAAAATAGCCCACAAACAAAGAGCACATTATAGTAGGATGATTATAGCAAAGACTTGAACAACAATAACCTTGATCTTCTGAGATATCCAGAAGCCGACGTCTTGGAGCTGCTTGTTTCCAGAAGCATCCTTCATGCTTTCTCTGAGAAGATCCTGCCCAGCTCCTTCGGCAATCACAAGAACCATGTGCCCATTTTCTTTGAGTCTGTTTTTTATATGTTCAAAGAGTCCACCAGGTCCTTCCAGAAAAAAGGGTGACTCTGGAATCAAACAGCAGTCCACATCTCGGCTCGCAAGAGTTGCATACATTGCAATAAAACCTATAGGGGTGAAACAACCATTGCCTCAAAAGTTCAGTGATATTGTTGTCACTTTTGACAGCCACATAAAGAGCAATGGTTCAATTGAAGGGATGGTTCCTATGGAGTTGGAAGACACTATAAGCTGTAATTACCGAGTTGAAGACTTACCACTATCACGTCCCATTAGTTTGACAACACCGATACCATTCTCAATGCTTTCAGCTTCAACATGAGCTGCATTGATGGCTCGTTGAGCTTCCTCAACAGCAGTGTCAAAACCGAAGGATTTGTCTATAACCTGAATTAGGTAAAGCTTAAGATCTAAGAACTTCGTTTGTAAACCTTTTAGTTCAAAAGCGCTATTGTATCAGAAGAGGGGACGAGAATGTATTGCAGTACCGGTATGTCATTGTCAATGGTCTTGGGTATTCCAACAACAGCAACTTTGAGGCCACGCCTTCTGATTTCCTGCAAATAATCCAGGTTAACAAACAACTCTTCCAGCCCGAGAGTATCTGAAGCATTTTATCACACAGCCAAAGCCAATAAAAGCGAGAAACTGGATCACCTCAAAGATCATTGCAGCTCCTTTATGAGTACCATCTCCTCCAATAATGTAAACCTGATACACTCGGTGTCATACATCTTGAACACAAATATAAACAGGAAAATCTTCACCGCAAAGTTAGAAGTTCTAAAATCAAGTATTGAGTTCTAAACATGCTTTCTGCTTCTCAGAAGCCATAATTCAAAAGGAACCACATAAATCAAAAAAGAGAATTGAAAGGCAAGTCTCCATACCTGATTAATTCCTCGATCCTGAATACTGTCTACTATTTTTGATGTATTATGGCCCCCTCTTGATGTCCCAAGAATGGTACCGCCCCGTCTGTGAATATCATTCACAACTTTTGGTCTTAAAGGGATAGTATTCCGAGAATAGAATCCCTTGTATCCATCCTGTGATCACAAAAGAACATTCATACTAAGTCACATTCCAGGCATTCAACATCCTCCAGTGGGATTGAACCAAAACGAAGTAGGAAAAAACAAAAGAAGCCTAGTCCTTCCCCTCCAACATGAACTGCTACAAAGGAAAAATCAGTTGCAGAAATATCTGTCCTGTCAACATTGATTGAACACTTATTTACCTCTATTCCAAGAATGCTATTGACGCCATACATGTCATGTAAACCGCAGACTAACTCCCTGATCACTGTGTTTAAACCGGGGCAGAGACCTCCACAAGTCACGATGCATGCAAGAACTTCATCAGATTCAAAACAAACCTGAGGAAAATTCAAGCCAATTTAGCTTTCATAATATAATTGGTTCAACATTGTTAGCAAAATGATGAATCTTATTCTTGAAAGAAAATTGAAGAAGGAACCAAAAAAAGAAACCTTCTGACGAGGTCCAGCACGCCGAAAATGAGTCCCTCTTGGGCTACTTCTGCCTACAACAATCTACAATCGCAAGCACAAGTAGATGAATTAGGAAAAAACATAAGAACAAAATGATCAGGAAAATAATTTTCCGCTTTCATCAGGAAAATAATCTCAATCAAAATGAGTACCATTACCTTTTCTGTAACGCTGTCATCCACATTAACAAAATATTGCCTGCCACAGAACAAAATGTTTTGCAACATCAATTCCACACACCAATGAAAAACCAAGAAAAATAGCATGGTCGCGGGCAGTTAAAACACTTACTTAACAACTGAATAAGCATGATGGTTTTGCAATGGATTAGGATAAGTCTGCAACCAACACGAAGAACACGAAAAAAGAAAGTTTCACTTGGTATAGAATTCTTGAAAAATAATTGTACAAATATGGTTTTCCATTTGCAGAATCATGAAGTTTTACGTACCAGAAGGTCAGGAATGTAGTCGGACAAGTGGGGCACGTCTTCAAGGACGTAACCGGCATCTCCAGTGACCAGTTTTGGCTCAGCACATCCATTTTCAGTCGACATATTCTCCACCTCTCTTCTTCTTCTTCAGCAAATTAGCTACTTGGCTGTTGAGTTTTATTGCATAGGCTCTCATGTAACAGACAAAAATACTAGCAAGAAAGATGCCTGCTAGCGAAGTCTTGAAGCTACGAGAAGAAGCCCTTTCCAAATATGTAAATTCACACATATGTAAAGAGTCTTTGATACTAAAATGTTCACTTAGTAAATATGCACTGAAATTTGAAAAAGGTTACTTTTTCAAAAGGAAAAATTTCGGAAAACAACTAAAAATTTGTTTTTGTATATTGAGTAATCAATTAACTCAACCAAGCCTAACCAAGAATTAACTCTTATTATTTGATTCTTTGAGCATTTTTTGATAAAGCATAAGACTTGGAACCTACGTGAAAGATAAATCAAATTAGTTTAATGAAAATTGTTTGAACTCAATCAACCAATAAACGTACCGAATTGCAAGAGTTTTAGGAAAAATTAATTCGAATTTAAACACTATAACATTCAACTTGGGGCTCTTTAGGAGTGTTTAGAGTTTAAAACCAAACAAAACTATTTGATACTCGAACCAAATTTCATGAGGTTCTAAAATGTTTCATTCCAAACTTGAGGGATTAAAAGCTATGAATAAATATATGAAATTTCTCCCCCCCCCCCCTTAACGGTAAATTTGATTATTTGATGAATAAGAAAAAGGATGTATGATCAGGCATATCAATAGATCAGTTCTTATTCAAATCCAACCTAGACCTAATGTAGTAAGATGGGTTTTGGATTTAATTTCTTAAATCCAAACCCTGTAAAAGAGTTATGAGTTTGGATAGGATCTAATATGGGTTTAAATTTGGATATAGATTATAAAAATCAGACCCTACCCAAATCCATGTATATATAATTATATATCTTTACAATAATAAAGCCTTTGTAAGCAGTTAACAACTTTGTGTATTTTCAAATTTACTATTATTTCTATTATATATTAACACTTATCTCTATTATTCATTATCTCTATTATCAACAAATATACAATTTTTACTCAACTAAAACTACCTCCTTCCAATTCTCACATTCTTCTTTACCAACGTTTTTTTTTATTTTCACTTATACTATTTATGTGATTCTTTCATTTAAAAATATTTTTTGATAAATTGCACACACGTTGATAGCACCTCGATTGCTAGTGTATAATATAGTTGAAGTTTCAAAAATAAAACGAAACAATCGATAATAGTTAGTTTTTAATAATATTGTATTCAACTTCTTGAATATTAATTTTATTATTTGAAAATAAAAATTAGATAGTGTTTATATTTTTTGAAATTTATATATTTTTACTTTATTGTATTTATAAAAATACGGGCGTTACTCATTGGGTACCCATATCCAGGAGGAATGATTTTGGATTTATTTATTCAGACCCGTAAGGTTTTTGAAAGATTAAAGAGCAGTCCAAAACATTCTTCAAAAAAGAAAGAGAAGAAAAATGACTCCAAACAATAAGCATTATTAAGCAACAGAGGTTAGGGTTTCACTAGGAATTAAACCGAAAAATGGACTCCAATTACCGAAGCAACACCGGCACCGGCAAGTCATCGGCGGCTGCTGCTCCCCAGCTGACAGGGGAGGCGGCGGCTGAGTTCCAACAAGGCATCAATTTACTGCTTTCTCGATGGACAGCACTTCAAATGGCGGTTCAGAACGAGTGGGGTGGCCCCCAGTCTCGTCTTAAGTCCCAGCAACTCGCCCTCGACCTCTTTTCACTTCTTGCTGGATCCAAAGGTTTTCAATTTCAGTTGAATTTTGGAAATTTCTTATTTGAAAATGAATTCAGCAAATTCTTGCGTTTTTTCTGTTGTTTATTTGTTTATTTCTGTCTGCTTGAGTTTTCTCTGATTTTTTTAGGTTTTTTTCTCTGTCTTTATCTTTTTTGGGAAATTCGGGTGTTCAGAGAAAGTATATATGGATGACGTGGAGGATCTTCTTGATGATTCAATGCTATCTCTTGGTACTGAGATTGCCGATGGCAGTATAGAGGAGGTACTTAGTTCAGCTAAACTGTTTGATGCCTGTCGCTTTGAGCTTTTGTTTATTGCACTGCAATGATTTTAGTTCGCTTAAACGGTTGAGAAGTTACTGCTTCTCAAATCAAGATAATTGCCCTTGGCATGTCAGATTTTTTTAAACAAGTCTACGGCTCAAGGCTTGAAGGGCTCTTAAGAATTTTTTGCGAGGTTGAAAGAGAGTATTCTTTATCCTAGTACCTTCCTCCTCTCTGAAGGGAAAAAAAATAGTGCACTTGTTCAATTATATTATCAATTGAATAGGTTATAAGAATTGGCATCCTCCTTATTGTTTCCTCTAAAGGATTTGATCCTTTAGATTCAAGCTGAAGTCAAGGGTTGAAGTGACGTGGTCTTATTGTTTCCTTACGCTTATTAGTCATCATTCGATGTAATTCTGTTTTCCTATATAAGCTTGAAGTTGCATGAATAAGTGTTGCTGCCACTATTCGATGACTGATCATACAGGTGGTTTGGGCTTGAGATACTTATAAATGACGCTTTTTAAGAAAAACTAAAATATTCCCAGTCTGAATGCTGGAGGCTCTGTACTAAAACATATCTAGAGATGTTCTTGAAGCAGGAGGACAGGAGGGAAAAGCTGATTAATGGAGTTGGGATTTGTAATTTATTTTGCATTTTACTGGAGGTTGAGGTTTGAAGGGAATGGTGAGAGATAAAGATAAAAGGATAATTTTCTAACTCACAGCTTGCTAGTAAATAAGGGGAAGGAAGCTGGGTGTGCATGCTATTCAATATTCATTTAACATGCAGAGATGTAGATTGTAGTATACTTCTTTTAGACAATTGCAACCTTTATGCTTTGAGTTTAGTAGTTAAACAGTAAAGCTGGAATTTTGGGATCTTGAAAAGCAAGCATTTTGTAACTTGTGGTCTTTCCTTTTTGCATGTGACTGTCTTATGAAACATGATATATGGCCACAGAGAATGTATGTTTCAAGATATATGCACAGAAATAGACAAGAACAAGGGGAAAGAGATTACTATTATTTAGATCACCATCAAGATTTCCTTCAATCCCTGCCATATTGTTCTGGTTATAATAACGCATGGCCTTAATATTGCAGCAAGGCCAAGGATAGATGTTAAACTATTTTTTTAGGTATTCAGAATACTATCTGTTTGGTCATTTGACTTGATTTTGGGGATTCTAAGTTTTTTGTCTGAAATGTGCTTGATGACAATCAGCATCTGCAATTCCTCTCAGAACTATTGTGGCTCTGGATTCTGAAATTTAGAAAGCCTATCTTGTCTAACCCTTGATTACCTAGGGTTTTCTCAAAATGGTAAACTTGCTATGCAGTGTTAGGGCTTGTGATGATTGTGGATTTTTTGGCTTTATATTCTTCTCAAGTTTCAATTTCTCTTTGCAATAAAGAGGATCTGAAGGTTAAGTATGGTTTGAACATCCCTTTTGCTTTAACAGGCTTGAAAAAAATAATTGCTTAAAAGTTTCATTTCCATTATGCATCTATTCCATATCATGTCCAAATACATGATAGACTTTTTTTCTACTATAAAGGGACAGAAAGAATTGCTAGAGCCAGCAATGTCTATCTCAATGTTGAACTTGTGGGTAAATGATACTTTTGGTGATTGGCTGAATTGCACACCTACGTTAGATTTCTTCTCCTTTTGGAATTTTGGGACTTTGTTCTGTATTACTTTGCATTCTTAAGAATTTTTTGACATCAGCAGAAGCACTAACTCTAATGAACAAATACTCTCTAGTTCATATAAGGAGGTTACTAGAACCAAAATATAGTGGTTAAATTAGAATTAGCTATCTTTTAATTGGAAAAACTAATGCGAGTAGCGAAATCACAATAGTTATGACCAATCTCATAAAAGGCCGATACAATTTTCCTTTGGGGATGGATATTTGGAAACCATGCTTCTTTTTCTGGATGACAGCTATGATTAATGATATCAATTGCATATTTGCCGATGTAACATGGTTTGGTCTATCTTGATCGTTTTCCACTTTTTTGGGCACTTTTTAACATTATTTTTTTATTTTTTGTCACTGAATTGCTTTAAGCAGATAGCTGAAAAATTGATGTTTATGCATGAAGAATGTTTGAAAGGTGATTTTAGTTCCATACAAAGGCTTAGGGCAACTAATCCTCCACCAGGAGTGGCCACCCATGTTACACAGGTAACGATGTTGTAGCTGGTTGACAAATGTTTTGTCAATGACAATTATCCAGGGTATTTAACAGAGTTGAGACTTCTTCTTATACTAAGAGTTTTGAATGTGAGTCCTTGAGATCCAATTGAGAATCTACAGTGGAAAGTCCTTAACATGCTATTGAGAATCTGCAGTTGAGACTCTTCTTATACTAAGAATTTCAAATCTCAGTCCTTAAGAAGCTATTGAGAATCTGCAGTACACTTTCCATTTGGATTCATTCCCATCTGTTCTTTCACTTAGATACAGGCCAGCAGCGACAGCGATAGTGATGATAATGAAGATGGTGATAATGGTAATTTGCCAAATGATGGCTCATCAAAGATGGTGGTTGATGTTCCACAATCCCATTCTGTCATGAATAGGGAAGAAATGATGGTGGATGAGTCTATACCCCAGCAGCGAGCTGAAACAGAAGATGGATGGACTGTGGTTGCATCTAAGCGGAACAGAGGTAGAAGACATTAAGGCATAATACTGCCAGATACATGGTGTTGGTATTCATATTTGAGTGCTTTTTTCCTGTTTTCTCTCTACTTCAGATTTCAGATTGTTCTATGTAATTTCAAGGCTGATTTTAGCTACAAAATTTTGACTTATATAGTTGTGTGGACTAAGTGGAGGGTGGAAAAAATATAAGATAAAGTTTTCAGTGCTTTCACCAGTGTTGTAAATTGTTGTCCCTTTCAGGCTGACCAAATTCTTGATTATGAAGTTCAAATGTTATGATTACGGTTTCGAGATGCCTCATCAGATCCGGATTGCTGATTTTAAACAAATCTAAGTACTTTTATACATAGTTTCATGGAAATTTAAGGCCTGTCAAATTGTGTGTCTATTTTTGAATCTCTCGACTCTGTGTTTTCCTGATATGATTCTGTTTATCATTTCTAGTGAATATGATGGATAGATATATCCGTGTGTGATGAGACCGCTTCCATATTCAGCTTAATTGTACTCAGCCATGACTGGTCTAGCTAACTATTGAGCATAAGAATTCACACCAAGAAGAGCTCAACTCTTGGTGGGAAGAGTTCAAAGCTGCAGTAGGAACTCTGAGAGGATTGCTATGAGTTTTGTTCTCTCTCAATTCTGTTGTCCCGACACACTTCCAACCATCACTGGTCAGTAGGGTGTTTCCTGCAACTGAATTGTCGATGTCATCCTTTACATTTCGTCGATGAACTTAACAATTGGACGGATGATTTTTAGATAATGGGACATAGTAAATGCAAATTCGGGTTCAAATTTCTTCCATTTCTGTGTCTGTCGAGATTCAACTCCAACCCTCTCCTTTTGGGAGTACAGTAAAAACGTAGAGGGAGAAACGGCCACGCAGAATACTAGTACATCATAGGGTTGGGGTGAGACAAGGCCGTGCACCTACAAGCATTGCCCCAAAGTAAAGCCTAAATTTAGTGGTCCGAGCTGGGGTGAAGCCAAAAACTAGGTAGGCTAGGAATTGGCTGTATCTTTGTTCAATTAAAAAGTTTTTTCTTTCTAAGGAAAGAAAATATATGGTTTAATTAACACAATAAAGGGATTGCTCTTGTTATCTATGCCATCAAGTTATCTTCTCAGTTATGTGTTTGTTAACTCTAAAATTAGGATCACAAGGTGGTTAATATGATTTGTTTCTAGTATTTTTCAAAACTGAACCAAGTATAGTTGATTTTAATTGAAAGGTTGATGAATTTTTCTGAGTTATTTTTTTTTTTAACCCCCTACAGAAGGTATACTTTCATTGAGAGGCGCCTAGAGGTGCAACAGGAGAAACAAAGGAATAGGGGCAGGAACGGTTGCACCTATGTGCATTTTGCACACGGCGTAACTCTGTTTATACATGGTGTAACTTACTTTCAACAACGTGTAATTTTAGAACAAAATTTTGTGGGTCCTATACATGTTGTTAAAAATGAGATATAAGATGAAATTTGGATCGTAAAATTTTTTTTTTTGCCAAATTTTGGCCGTGAACTGCTCAGACGGACCGTCCCTGCCCCAAATCCAGAAGCAAAGCAGTTATCTTCTTACACAATTGTACAAGGATGAGCCCTATAAATAAAATCAGTAAAAGATGTAGAAAGACCGGTCACTGGTGGGCACTTCCTTCCTGATTCATTCTTTAGTTGGGCGGAATTGTTGCCTTTGGGTTCGAGGAAAAGTGACCAACAACCCTTGGTCGGACTTTCCAGTTTCGTTCCTATCAATTCAATAACAATGAAGCCTTTTTTTTTTCCAATGTTTTTGGAGCAAACATTTCTCCAAGAACGTGGGGAATTTTTTTATTTGCTATGAAGATTCAGTTGAAAAAGCAGTTGTACGACAAGAAGCATCTACGTACTTGGCGGGGTGTTAGAAGTTAGAACTATTAGAAGTTTGAGTGCTCGATAATGAAACAGAAAAAGGGCATCTCTTTTGCTGCCAATTTGCTTTGCTCTGGTTGCCGCAGCCGACTTGGTTAAAGCCCATCCTCCTGCCATTTAGTTTATTCTGGAAATGCTTTTTCTGTAAATCTTCCAAAGCAACATCTTCCAATGAAGAGTGCACAATCTAAAATCCACACATTTTCCGAAGTTTCTTAACTCACCTTTTATTCCAGTTGGAAAAAAGCAAGAAATCCGTTTATGAAATTTTTACCGAATTCGCCACCTTAATAGTAATATGATTAGTGATGAAGGCACATTCAATGGATGTGCTTACAAGTAAGAGAGTACGTGTGAGTTCAATCATAAATCAGCTTGTCGGCTTTTATATACATAAATAAATACATACACATACATACATACATATATATATATATATATGAATTAATTTTCCTTACACTGACAATGTATGCATTGTCAGCGTTAGATAAATAATAATTATGTAAAATTTAAATTTAAAATTTAATTATTACATATATATCATGGATTCAACGGTAATAATGTATATGCTATCGATGTATATAAGATTTATTCAATATAATATATATATATATATATATATATATATAAACTTGGTGATGTGACTTTGACATGCTCTATTTTTAATCGAATAATTCTGGCATGTAGTCTCCAGTGAAAAGAGCGGCCTCCGCTTTTGTTGAATACGCGCATCGATTGGTGTGGCGGAGAGAGTGGTCCTTCAAACTGCAACAGTTTTGGCTCTGCATACTTTGTGAGGAAAAGTGTGGTTGGAATTTGTCCAACAGAATTCTAGGGAGTAATTCTTGACATCAAACCCAACTATTGCCGCTGGGGACCTATTTGGGTGTTTCAATTCCAAGAGTCTGTCCAAGCTGTGGCTCCTTTGTACATCTTTAAATTCAGCAGAGGATGAGAACGACGTAGATATTACTTGTGGTGACAAAGGTACTTGTCGGTCTCTGTGCTGTAGACAAGACAATCAAATTCTGATGCAGCTATATATTTTGATTTTCCCACGAGGAAAATGCATGGGATTCGGATTACAATAATGTTGTACCAAAATCATGCCCACAAATTACATGATATTGCACCATCCTTCAAGTTGGCTCGATTATAGCCATAGGTGGTATGATAGAATCAATCTATATGGTCTCTTAGCCTGGGAAAGATTATAAGAATTTCAAGATTTTAGTAAAAACGACGACAAATCGCAGTCTAGTTGATAAAACGATATACTGATAACCGATACGTCAGAGATTTGAATCATTAAGAGGAAGAAGTAGGAAACTGCCATTGATTCTTTTCAATAGGAAAAAGGGCCCGTGTAAAAGTGAGATTACATTTTGTGTGAGGACATCAAATATCTGTGTTATGGGGCTAGATCATCAGCCTTGAACATCAATGATCCTTTTTCCCTTCTTAACATTTTCATAAACGGTGTTGCAAGCTAGATGTTATAACATTTGACAATTTTCTAATCATGGATAACTCAGAGTACTAATCATCATTCGCCAGTTTGAGCGCTCACAATTAGGGAATACCGATTTCGCGCTTACTTTTGATTACTCATTTGGGTACAACTTGGCAGTGCTGAAAAATACCCTTCTTTTGTCAATTGAGAATTCGTTGAATTATATTGATGTGCACAATTTAGAGCTGTTTCTTAAGTGACTGTGTCCTAGTTACTAGTTAGTTACTGCTGTTCTTGGCTATTTACTTCGGCAACTACAATCTGCTGCTATTGAATTATTGCTTCCAAATAAGTAAAGACAAGAGGATCTACAGCTTTTGTCCGGTCCAGTTATTTACTTTTATTGCAACTACTTCCAAGAAGCAATTTGTTCATCATAATCCATATGATATGACAGTTTGACACACAATGAAGTGATAAAACACGAAACATTATAGTTTGCATTCTTCACATTCTATCTTAGGTTGCAAGAAAAAATAATAATTGTTAGCGCGGATATTTACATAATAGTAACAGGTTATATGTGATTTAGACGACGAGGAGGAGGAGGAGGAGGAGGAGCGTTCACAATCTGGATTAGTTCTGAGCATGTTTTTGTACGAAAAATGCTAAACCCTTTTCAGAGCATTTACTGCGAGGGCCAAGAGCTTCTTTCACAAGTGGTGAATGATTGAATTGGCATCCGAAAAAACGCACAACACAACAGTTCAAAATGACTTGTGCTTGCTGAATGCCACACGTAGCTTTTGTGGCTGTACTGGTTCCTGCATCAACTGTGTAGAATTCATTTTGGATTTCCTCAAAAAAGCGTGAGTCTTGGAACATTGGTGAGGTCACCCATCAACATTGAAGAAAGAGAGTTTTGATTGATTGCACACTATAGTAGTTGACAATGAAATTGCAGGGATTAATGCTCCTGCACCAACCTTATTGAGAGCTTATTAATGGGTGTAGCAGAGTTTCCTATTTGACAGAAAGATGAAAGAGTAAGATTTCTCTGAAATTATTGGAGAGAGATTGGACAGCTAGACTTTGTAAGAATGTTCATTGGCCAAGGAATACTTCTAGGCCAACTTTCCTGCTACAACTACCAGCAACTAGGATATTTTCTTGCCTGTCTCGGCTCATGGAAGAAAAGTCAGGAACTCCAATTGATGCCATGGAGGCTAAATTTCAGATAACATTTTAGATTGCATATATGCAAATCATAAGCCTTGAATTAAGTTGAAATTCTTGACTTGCAGCTACTCCAAGAGTTGAAGCAAGTCAGAATTTTAGGCTAGTTCTAGACTTTGCGCAAAACAAAGAGTTGTATTCACATTCTAAAGTGTTACATACAGTATGGAGAAAATCAATTAAGCTGCACAAGAAAGAAAGAACAACTCTTTTATTTTACACGATGATGAAATCACAGAGTGAAGTCAATTTTTACACACGACTGTTCCTTCATTACAGTAAAAAACTAGGGATGCATGGTGAATCTTTTTTGTGAATTAATTTGTCTTCCAATGCATGTGCTAAGCATTTGTTGTCTTCACCAAAACGGAAAAAGGGAAGAACCCACATGGGAACCTGACGAATTCAATTCCAAACTTGGTGATTGATTCTGCTAGCTACAAGAGAAAATTTTTGGACTGCCAAAAGGCTAATGGACCGAAAGTGACGATTTATAAAGGTGGTATGGTACCCCTCTCGCTGTTGTTCAGCCAGATTCTTTAACCTGTCTCTGTTGCCTTAGTTGGAGTTTAAGGTGTGTGGGTCTCCGCTAGGCCCTGGGAGCAATCTATCTACTAACATGTTTTCCTGAAGGGAGCACCAACGCAACTACCTAAGCCTTAGCCACCCTACATTTTGTTGCTAGGAC